CAGGACCCACTGCACCAGCATAGGGTCTGACAATCCAATGATTTCATCCCAATACCTAATGGCAGTCAGGGTGTCATTGGCTAAGCTCTAGAGGTCTGTGTGTCCTTCCAGAAACATGCTAATGATATATCAATGGTGCCAGGCAGTGAGCACAGGGCCTACTAGAGCACATCAGGCCCTCAGGCCACCCTCATGAAGTCTGTTTCTGATTGTCTGGTCAGAGACATTCACACCAGTGGCCTGCTGGAGGTCAATTTGTAGCTCTGGCAGTACTCATCCTGTTCCTTCCACAAAGGAGCAGATACCAATCCTGCTGATGGGTTAGGGACCTTCTACGCCTGTCCAGCTTTCCTAGAGTAAACGCCTGTCTCCATAACAAGGTACGGCTCTGGTAGTAATGTTACTAGACAATGAAAAAAAAACCCAAAACGATTGGATGTAGTAATGAAAGATGTGGCACGAATATCACTACTCTGCCCAATAGTGGACAAGACAACAGAAGTGAGCATGTGCTCACCTGTGAGCTCCAGCGGGGTGCACAGGGAGCTCTCAGCAGGGGCCAGCAGAGGCAGGCAGCAGTGTTTGGACTCCGAGTCCTCCAGACCCTGCACCAATGGGATGGACGCGTTCTGCACAAACTGCACCAGCAGCTGAGTGATGGGGAAGGAGAAGAGGCACAGCATGGAAAAAAAAGATGAACCTCGTGTGTTATTTAACAGATACCTGCACCACAAAGTGGTCTCCCTTCCCGAGGGCGAAAATGATGGAAAGCTTACCTCTGGTTTGGAGTCAAGCTCATCAGAAAGCATGGGTCACCCTGTGTGGAACCTGCAGGGCGAAATAACACCACTGAGCTAATAAACGAAAATACTCGTCAGTATAAGTGGCTCGAGCACAATGACAACAACACACACCTCAAATGTGACCTGGTGAACGGCAGAATCTGTCAGTCATAAGCTCGGGCTGCAGGTCATCTTCCAGTCAAATCCATGGTACGAGCTCTGCGGTCAACAACAAGACAAAGCTGTCAGGTAAACCTCCGGAGGTTTTTGGTAAACACAAAGAGCCACTGTATGCTCGGCAACTGCAGCTAAGTGTAGCCAAACCTCAATAAAATCCATCTAAACTGTTCTGGATAAAAACAGGCATATGGCACACTGCCTGTTTACCTAGCTAGCATAGCTAGCACCTAGCCACCGGAGCTATTTTCCCAAATGATGGATCCCCGCTGACGACACACTAGACAGCTATACAATTCCGTTAATTCTCCGGTGATATTAAACAGTTTACCTTACAATAGATGTGTATGCAGGACACAGCGTAAGAGTAACTTAATGTATATTTATCTCCAAAGAGCAGGTTTGGACTACGGAGGCTCAGATACATCAATTTTAAGACACTTCCGCGTTTTCAGCAAGAACGATTTTGTGTCATCGACGCCATCTAGCGGTAGAGATGTGTAATTGAAGGTAAAAACTGACCTCTCAGTCAGTTCAACAGCTTATTGGTTTCATTGTTCCCTTTTAGAAATAAATATGTCAAAGGTAAAAAGCTTAAGTTGAACGGTTTGGAGTAAAGGTTAGAGGGCCGTGGATATGTGCAGAGGAAGAATACTGGGTATGCTGGACAAAGGATGTTGAAGATAGAGCTGCCAGGCAAGAGGAAAAGAGGAAGATCAAGTAGTGAAGGAAGACATGGAGAGGTATGGTGTGATAGAGCAGGACGCTAGGGATAGGGTGAGATGGAGAAAGACGATCTGTCGTTTTGACCCGTGAAGACTGCAGCTGAATGACGAAGATTCCCTGGTGGTGACATGCAGTACATTTTACATAAAAATAAATAAGATATTAGCATACAGTTAGTTTTAGACTACCGTGGAGCAAGTATCAATGGCAACAGGGTCTACAGGATCTAAAGCTTGAAAAAAGTGACTGTTTTACTGGGATAGACTGATCACATTTGTTTGGCACTGGATTATTAACATTTAAAAACAGTGTTCATGTTCATTACATATCAAGTAAAAAGGCCACCTTTAAAAGAAGTAGGTGTAAAGCCTGAGTTCCAACTAAAATTAAAGAAACTACAGCTACCCTCTGTTCGTGTCTTATTTTTATGTCATGAAAGCAGAGATTTATTTTTAACCACTTCCTTTTTCCACACTCAGCTCTTGTGATGAGAGAGGTGTGCTGAAAGAAACGCAACACGTTTCATTGTTTCTAATCTTGTTTCCAGCTGAGATTATACAATTCAATGTTTTCCTCACTATGTGACCTCTGAGTGCTGTTTTAAATGTCAACCAAGCAGCACTACCATTCAAATGGACATGTTTAATTGTAGAAAGGAAAAAAAGAAAGAAACCACAGCAGCTTCTTTGGAAAGACATTTATTACACAAACAATGAGTCTCTAACTTAAAATGTACAAAAAAAGAGCCCTAAAGCATGTAACATCAAACATTTTCAGTCTTAGTTTATAAGATCTTTGAATGATATAGCTGAAGTGTTTTATAACAAGTTACTTATAACAAGTCTCATGTCCTCAGAGGTTTTAAGACGTAAAACTCAAAAATTTCCCACTTTGGAAAGTGTCATGAGGACTTCAACAACTTCCTCTATTTACATTTTATAAAGGAAAAAAAAAGACAGCGAGCTAGGCACATCACATTCAGTCTGCATGATCCTAAAAATATATATTTGAGCTGATATTTAAATATATTTTTGTCCATCGTTGTTGCTGGTGTACTACTGAAACTGAAACCAGCATCTTTAAAGTGACAAGGCAGACTGAAATGCACTGAGGAACCAAAGCTGCCAGTACTCAACTCAAAATCCAGTGTTACCAAACTGTACTGCTCTACAAGCTGACCGTTTAACAAAGAAAAAAAACTGCAGTCACACAACATGATCAGGAACACAGCATGTGGCATACACACTAGTATCATCAGAAACATAAATAGTCCATTACATAAGCACATCTGCACAAAAAGGAACTTCTTCCACACAAAGAAACCTGGACAGCGACATGATAATGGCAACGATTACGCACGAGCAGGTAGCAACAAGTACATGTAAAGAAAGCACAGAGCGTTTTTGTGCTATTTTCAGTCAAAAGTTCAGTGACCTTTTCATACGTGATTTATTCCACTGGCAGTGAACCAGCCTCAAAACAGCTAGAACTTCAGAAGAAGGCCGTCCCGACATTTTTAAGATTTTTTTTTCTTGTTTTTGAACTGTGCAGTGAACCGTTAAGAAAACAAACTCAAAATTTATCCTAGAATCATTTACAGCCGAGGACAAATCGGTCAAGAGTGTTTTAAACAATTTCATAAACTCGGGTAAAAGTGCGAGGTGGAAACCTGGTCCAAGGAAAAATAAAGGGAATTCTGCAAAGACAGCACCTGAAAGTACAGAAGAAAGTGAGACAGTTGTAAAATGATAGTATTTGCTGTTGGCTGAGGGGAGTTAAAAAAACAAAGAGCAAAATCGTAGCGGCCATCCTGCTGCTCGAGTATCTCAATAAGGCTTTCACCAAGAACATAGGGTAGACAAATTACTCATCTAGCATTACAAAGCCATACGAAAAGTTAGATATATAGGCTATGGCGTGGAAGAATTTAGTTTTCTTCCATTTATTAAAAAAATGAATTCATAACTGAATGGTGGGTCTGTTAACATCTACTGATTTTAGACCATATAATCCAGTCATCATATTTAGCCTGTTATTGTAGAAAAGTTTAGAATGTCACTGTGACACTGCCTCGACATCTCGTCTGTGGTTATTGCAGAAAGTCAGTGGAAACTTATATGAGCCAAATGCATCAAACAAGGCGACACATGGAGCTTATTTGAGATAAAGTGGGAGTAAATAACTGATTACAAGTCAGGAATTTCATTTAGAGCCAAAGCGACTTCGAAACAACTTATTCTCAATACAGCTGTCTCGAGTACAAAGGATCTGAAAGAGCAGACTCAAAGGTCAGGAAAATACTCCAAACTGTTGCATGCTGGACGATAAGGTCACAAACAATCGCAGAAGGATCAGAGGGAGTGGGGTGGGAAGCTGTGTTATGTATTACAAAGTCGACTTTTACAGATTGTTTTACAAGGCCATGAGCTGAAGAGTTTCAAAACTCATCTGAACTTTGTTGCAGATTATATGGAAAATATGATTTCTGAGGGTCAAGCAGTCATTTATCCAGCCACAATAACCACAGCACTCTCAGTAGGAGAGACGCTAAGCCACTAAATCCTTCCAAGATTGTTGATGCAGATGCATCTGTGTTGCTGACAGTGAAATTGGTGCACTGCAGTAAGAAAGTGGGTGGAGTAAGTTGGATGACCTCAAAGTCTTGAGTGCAACCTAAAAGGCTAGATGTCAGATAGCGCTACCTCCCTAAACTCACATTATAAATTTGGTTTGGGAGTAGCTTAAGAAGGAAGCAAATCAAAGAATTTACTGTGTTCACTTTAGAAACTTGTAATCTGCAGCTGGCACTTCCCCCAGAGTCAAAATATCTGCGATGTTGAGAGTTGAGGACAGAAGTGTTTACATGTTCGCCTACTGATAAAACACAAGATGTAGGCTGAGAGCACTCCAAATAAGCAAATACATGACAAATGCGCAACAATACAGACGTCATGTTTTTTTGTTTTGCAGAGTACCAACAATTCATTCAAGAAAGAAACCAAACCTCTGAGTTTTTGTTTGTGTGACAGACACCTCCACGTTTTATGGTAACATTTTAAATAAACCGTATTCATGCTTAGATGGCAAGTTTAAACAGAAGGTATATAAAAGTATCCCTCTGCACTAAGAGACCATTTTAAGTCAACGTAAGCACTGTAGGAACAGAACCGTCACATCAAATATTACACAATCACATGCACAATGTACAAAAACACTTAACACTGCAGAAACTATCAGTAATAGAAAAGATGAAAATGTTATTTATTGTTATACTACACAAGTCATATGTATAGATTATTTGTGTGCTTATGTGTTGTAATACACTTCATGTAAAAAAAAACAAAAAACAAAAAAAGCTACAGTACCATAGCTGCCATTAATTTCTGTCCAGAAATTGCTTCAGAGCTACTTTTACATTTCTTAGTGCAAATGCAAAGTTATCTGACATACACTGGGTTTGGATTTTAAGGCCATGATTACAAAAGAGAAACTTAAACTTAACTGTACATTAAAAATATCTGGATTTTGAAAGGCCATTTATGCACAATAACTGGTCTTCATCAAGAGTTCTAAAAGATGGGTTTTTATTAGTGGACTAAAAAAAAATTACAATAAAAAGTTGGAAAAAAGTAGCTGTATAAACACATGTAAACATACAGGAAAAACTCTGCTCTTGAAGGCAGTCAATATTGAAATATTAATATTACGGCCATGTGTTGTTTACACTCAAACAGGCCTTAACTACAAGTGGAAAAAGCCAAAAACAAAAACATTTACAAAGGGATGTCAGGGAAGCATTTAAATGGCCATGAAGACAGTTCACACAGGAACATCTGCCATCAACATGATGGGAAAGACAAAGTTTAACTGTCAACTGGCCAAACCATAACTTTCAACTCACATTTTCCAAATTAAGCTTCAACAAAAGACACTGTGTAGGCACATGTAAGTCTGACTACGCTGACAGGCGAAGAAGCCCTGAACACATTCAGTGTGACACAAGAAACCGTCAGAGTTTTTGTTGCAACTGTAACTGCTGCATGAACTCAATTGGACTTGAATTTCACTGTCAACTTCCTGCTTGTCAAGCAACGCAAAAGACAACTACCATGAATGATGCAAGTAATTTTTGCAACAAGACATATGATCAGACTGATTTATACATAGATTCTCTTTTCAAACACCTTCTCATGTTGTATCCAGATTTAAATGACCAGTGTCAGGATTTAAATTAAGCTTTGTTGTACTACAACTACACTGAGAGAAGAAATTCTTACAGCTTCTGAGTTTTGATTGCTAAAATTGTCACCAGCACGGACACAGCTTCAGTGGAAGAGATCTAGTCCGGCTCAGTGAGGAAGAACATTGAGCTGCGTCTGCCTTATTTGGTCCCCAACACAACAAGCCAATAGTAGTCCAGCAGTCAGCACTTGAAGTATGTGGCTGTCCAAAGCTGTCATTTTTGCAGCGTGTCCTTCGCGGACAGGCTGTTGACCCATACATTGCGTTTTTCACCTTTTTTTTTTTTAAAGATTTCTAAAAAAAACATACACTACAGGCTGACAGCAACAGTCTACAGCAAAGTGTACAATGTCCACAGAAAAATTTATAAGGGTATTTTTGTATTTTCAATTTATAATCTTAGCACACCGACTGCTTCTTTCAATAAATATTTCCCCTCATACAGGTGCACAACACATGTGCACGTTGGTGGCC